TATGTTGAATCTGTAATATTATTAGTCATTTTAGGTATCTTTATTTGGCCTTGAAACTCATTCCGGTGTAGGATGTATCCGCGTCCCTATTTATTGAGATTAAGTAATTTTTAATTAAAGTTAAAAAGATTGATGATTATATTTTAATCAAATGATTGGGTTACCCCTTTGTCTACTAAGGGTAACTCTCGTTGCCACGCCTTTAGGTACGAATAGCATTGACGCCGGGTAATGTATAAGTAAACCTAAAATTAACTCATCATAAAACCTAATTATTTCAAGTTTGAAGGATCGAATAGGTCTATTTATTAGTTGTTAGAATAAATGCAGCGGACAATGTTTTATTGGCTGCATATGAATTGAATTTTTCCTTATGACACGTGTTGTAAAATAGTAAGAAATTGTATAATGGGTGCAGCTGATAGTTATAATGTGTTCCGTGATATTAAATAAAGACAATTTTCATAACTCAGTAACATATATAATTGAAGTTTTCCGTCTAAGGTAAATTAAGTGCAAGTTTATTAGCATGACATAGAGCGAAGTGAAGGTTGTTAAAGCAACGCTAGTGTCACGTAGTTAAGTGCACACTAAGAGAAATAAGCGACACTTTGTCCAAAATAGTGCTGTAGTTTTTGCCCTCATCTGAGTCATCCTGACACAGTTTGGCCCGGAAAAAGGGCGTATCAGTGCTACGTGCAGCGCTCACTGCTCGTGCTGTAATTAATATTTCATTATTTGGACATGACACATAAATTGTTTTGAGTGCGTAGCACAAGCTCAGGTCACGACCACGGAAACGAACAAAGCGCAAAAAAATGGATTTTAAACAACACAAAATTGTTCAGGAGCAATTGACAGGGCAAAAAACGGTCAAACACTGAGAGAAATGGGTGGGTCTGGATGACTCACTTAGATGAGTCAACCCCGTGTAAATAGCGATGCACTTTTTTGTCTCACTTGCCCCATTTGTGGGTCATACTCACCTATTATTGGCCCTTTAAATCTCAGGTATAACTCACTTGTGACGTCAAATCGTTTTTGAAGTCACAAATAAGTCATACCTGGAATTTATCTTTAAAGTGAGTCATCCAGACACACATATTTCTCTCAGTGCATGCCAAAGAAATGAGTAACAGAAATAAAATTAAGAAATATGCGTTTAAAAATAACTTTTTAAAGAAAACACTTCTAAAGAATCCAGAGTCTCCGATGTTGCACATGTACAATGAATTTCTAATTTTATTTTCAAACATTAAAAAATTTAGTGTTCAAATTTCTTTTAATATTTAAAATTTTTGTAAATTTTAAAATTAGGTATTTATTCAACTGATTCATGCATTGTCTCCGCAAAGTATGCAAAATTTCAGATCTATGGACAGATAGAAGTGTTAAAGATAAAAGATAAAGTTATCTTATTATTCTTTCTTAAATTTCTTAAGAAAGAATTTTTATTATTCTTCTTATTATTCTCTTATTATTATTACTCTTAAGTTATCTCTTCTTAAAGTTCTTAAAGTTATCTTAAAGAGGTTATCTAGAAGTGAAGTTAAAGAGAAGTGTTGTAAAAATTGATGACAATTTCAGCTGCAGAATATGATCTCAAACATAATAATTATTATCATCAATAATAAATAATTCATTTTATTAGTACACTCAGGGAAAGGAATGGGTCGTAGTGTCTAAATGGTGACATACTATATGCATGTAGCACTGATACGCCCTTCCCCGGGGGGCGACTTTCATAACTGGGTCAAAATGACCTACATAAGCAAAAAAAGTTTCTCGAAATTCGGACAAATCTCTCTCATTTATCTGAGTGATTTTAAACACCATTGCAACACGCGTTGTTTTGCACGTCGTGTACGTGCCAGCCAAACACTCACGTACATACGCCCTCCCTCCCCTCTCCTCCCCAACTCCCCTCGCCCCCCGACCTCCTGGTCCCCTCACCCTCCCTCGGGGGATGGAGGTCATGACCAAAAGTTTCGGACCCGCTACACTCAAAAAAATAAATAATGCGTCATAAGGTCCAAATAATGACTTACTTTCATTCGTAAGATCTTAAAGCAATTATATGTCGACTGTGATTGTCTTATGACATGTTACGAACTTGTCATTAACATGTTACATTAACATGTTACGAACTTGTCATTAACATGTTACGGACTTGTCATTAACATGTTACGGACTTGTCGTTAACATGTTACGAACTTGTCGTTAACATGTTACGAACTTGTCATTAACATGTTACGAACCTGTCATTAACATTTATCCGCGATTTCACACGAATTTAATATAACGTTTATCGAGACGCAATTTTTTGGGTGAAGATAATTGCAGAACTTTAATTAATGAATCATTGCACTAAAACAATCAATTAATAAAAATTAATTAGTTAATTGTATGTATTTATGTCGCTTTTCAATGCAGCTGTTGCGTGGATAAGAGAAGTCATGTGAACAAGGGACATATACACTCAAATGAATAATTGAGATTTTGTCCAAAATGCGGCGCACTTTTCGCTTTTGTGTGGGTCAGCCTGACCCATTTTAGTCCGGCAACAGGGCGTATCAGTGCCACCTCCGCTGTCTGCTCGTGCTGTTGGTAAGAAAGTGTGTCACTATTAGGACAATATGACCCATTTACTTTCTCAGTGTGAGGAGCAGGTAGCTACTGCGCCTCCTACAAGCTCACGTAGGTTTTAGTAGCAAAAAATTTTTTTTTTCTAGCAAAACTACAAAAAAATGACGCACGAGTACGTGGAATGTAAGCGGAAGTAGAGATATCCTATCACTGCTGCCATGTATAATTCACTATACATATAATACACTATACATATAGGCAGTGATGTGTGGGTGGTTATCTTTGATAAGCTAAACTAATTAAATATCATATCATCATCGGCAGAACAATTCAACAGAAGGCAATTCATCACTGCGCTGCATCATCGTAATGTCATCATCATTCCCCAGTAAAAATAATATCGTTGGTCTAAAGGTGTGATGTATAATCTAAAAATTATTGTGATTTTATATGAAATATTTATCATTATTTGGAAATAATTTAAGGTAGCGCGCGTTCCGGAAGCTGGGGGCGCCTTGCGTAATTTAGCTGTCAAGGGCGCGTGTTTCCCCGGGGGCGAGGGGATGCTTTCCATCAATATAAACTAATAATATGACTGCTTTCCATCAATATAAACTAATAATATGACTGCTTTCCATCAATATAAACTAATAATATGACTGCTTTCCATCAATATAAACTAATAATCTTTATATTATATTTTATTACCTGAAATAATCGTAGGTTCATGGCTGATAAAATCTTGCACCAGCTATAACCTGTAAATTTTGTAAGGCATGCCTAACTTGATCATCATTATAATTACATATATGCATGCTTAACATGATTATAAATTTGATAACGGTTTGTAATTGCCAGGGCAGGCTACTATACGGTTAAGTATTAGTGAAGGTTTACCTGTCCCTATATAGACAAAAGATTAAATCTTTATCTCCTGGTAGACAAATCTGCATAAAAGTCAAATGACAGTTACCACAGACCTATAAATATAAGATTAAATAAATAAATTATAAATAATAAATTATAATTATAATTATAATTATTTAATAATTATTTATTAATTATAATTATAATAATAATTATAATATTATTAATAAATAAATAATAATAAAATATAAATAAATATATATAAATATTTAGATTATACTTCCTTATTTTCAGCAAAATACCAGCAATATCATTTATTAGAGACAAAGCTTTGCTGTTTTTGACAAGAAAAGGCAGACAAGACGACAAAAATTCCTTTGTCTATAAATGGCGGGTTGAGGGATCGAGTGGCGCCGACATGGAGACGATAACAAACATGGATAACAGGTTGCTGAGGTATATATGAGGTATGGATAACAGGTTGCTGAGGTATATACCTATGAGGTATGGATAACAGATTGCTGAGGTATATATGAGGTATGGATAACAGGTTGCTGAGGTATATATGAGGTATGGATAACAGGTTGCTGAGGTATAAATGAGGTATGGATAACAGGTTGCTGAGGTATATATGAGGTATGGATAACAGGTTGCTGAGGTATATATGAGGTATGGATAACAGGTTGCTGAGGTATAAATGAGGTATGGATAACAGGTTGCTGAGGTATATATGAGGTATGGATAACAGGTTGCTGAGGTATATATGAGGTATGGATAACAGGTTGCTGAGGTATATAT